AGTAGTCAGCATACCTAAAGGAGAAGGATCCCCACCGACAGTTTTAATTGCTCAGGCAAGGGCGGCCTAGGTAAATGAAATATCTGTCTGTGACCACAGGTTTAATGTTTCAAACCAGCTGCACCATAATTTTAGTTAGTTCTTTATTGATCTCAGCCTTCTTTTCAGATTAAAGACCAGGCTTAGGGAAGAAAAAGAAGGCAAGGACAAAGTTATAGATCCCTAATCCTTAAGAAGATGTTTCCATTCCCACGTTATCACTTCGTATCCAAATCCTTTAAATATCTTTCACGTTCAGTTTCAATATTCAGTAAAGTTTATTAGAAACATTGCAATGTAGTGATTTACTATTCTATACATTTTGTGTTTCTGAGAGAGCTTGATCAAAACGCTTTAGCAGTAAAGGCCCAGACTCAACTCCTTATCGAAAAAAATCTCAAAACAAAAATTGGATTTTACTGTTCATTTCTGTATGTTTGTATATCTTCACAAAACATTTATCTTACAAACTGTTCTATAACATTTTGGTTAGAAACTAGAAATCTCTTGTCCCAAAGAAATGCACAAAGTACTTTTTTTCCCTACTTGTCATGATCATTTTCTAGACTTAAACCTGGGAATATCTTGCAATTACAAATGTAATACATTTTCTGTTAAGTCACCGGAAAATAGTACCTAAAATAGGATTATGTCCCAGGATAGACATCTTGTTTAATGATACAAATTCTGATTTTTATAACAAAAATGCACTAAAATACATCTCTTGTTTGAATTACACCAGTTGAATACATTTCAGAACAAATCACTCTTAGGCATGGAGTAACTGGTTGTTTCTCAGTAACTAACAATACGGTCAAGGCAGAGCAATGGCCCAGCATATTTGCCTTTCCTACTGTCAACATTTTAAAAACATACAAACTGACTAAATTAACTAGAAGGGGAATATCATTCACTAAAGGATTAACTGCCATTTTTTGTTTTTGTTTTTTTTTTGGCTATATTTTATGTGAAGGGACATAAAGGAAAGATTGACCAATTTGTTGAGAAGAATCAAAAACTGAGAGATGAACTGAATCATCTTTCTCCCTGACTAAAGTCACTTCAGTGGAAATGGCGAATGAGGCTAAAGAAGACGTATCTTCAGACAATATATTTACTGGTTTTTCCTTCACAGAAAATACTTTTCCTTATGAACTAGTTATTAGGTAGTTATTTGTAATAGCTGAAATGTTGACCTAAGATCTCATCTTCACTGTTGTTTATGCCTCACATGAATAAGGCTACATAACTGATAAGAGTCAAACACTGTTCTATTTTAGGGCCAGTAGGGCAATTAGGTAATCTCGTGGGTCAGGAAACATTTCAAGAAAGGAATACAGCACAGATAAAATACTACTTAGCTTTTGTTGAGAAGAAAATCTATCCAGAATTTTTAAATCTTAATTTATCTTTTTTTTAAGTCAAAAGGCAAGTTTATTAGAATAGGGATAACACTCCACAGAGAGATTATGGTCTCCTCTCAGAGGCAGAGAGTGAGAGAGCCTGAGAGTTGAAGATAGAGAGACAGAAGGAAGAGTATCAAGAGAAAGACTGAGAGTAAAAGAAGTGAGAGGGAACTTAATTTATCTTTATTACTAAAAATTATTTACTTTCTGGTGATTTACTAAGTATATAACACGTATTATCTACATTATATATTTTTAATTTATATTCTTATATATGTAGTTCTCTTTATTATAAAAATTATGTTTTATCAGCTTATAAAGCATATGGTTTTTCTAATGTATGTAAATATACATATTCTCGAATATATAAAAAAAATCTAGTTAATCCTGCTCTTACATGGATATTGATGGTGTTCACTTTGATACTAACATCTTTGAGAGTCTCACACTTGAAAACAATTTGATAACTATTGCTTGTTTTTTATTTCATTCATTTTCAAGATTTTTTTCTAAGATTATTTCTCCTCTCTTAAGAAATTTTAGTACTTCCCCATATAAACACGTGTAAAGTAGAGAAGCTTGAGTGGAAATTAGGCTGAATTACGTTTACTATAGTAAGTGATTTTTTTTTTATCTCCTTTTTCTCACCTGGTTTGAAATTCAAACTAAATTAACATTCTCTTTGCTTTAATTGCATACCACTATTAGAAAATATGAAAGAAGTACCTTGACATTCTTAATTTCTTACTTAAATGGCAAGTATTTCCAGTTGGAATTACTATCTTGTTTCCCATCATCTCTAATTCTTCCTCTGCCTTCTGCAAAGGCTTGAACCTAGTCTCCAATGCTAGGACCAACCCTGACTCTTGGGGGCAGGATAGGGGTGAAGGGTGGGAATGGAATTTACCTGGTTATAGTTAGGTCTGTACTTTAGTGGCTCAACATCAAGTCAAATCTCACAATGACTTTTCCCCCAGTTCTGGTAACTGGCCTTCAACCTCCCTTGTACCACAATTGCGGTAACCAAATTTCTATCTTGCTTATTTTCTTCATGCCTAATTGTTCATTTCCAACAAGTCTTTCATCCAGACATTAAAGGTTCGTTCCTGTGCTCTAGCCTCATGATCAGTTGATAAACTGACCTACTTATAATTAAGAGCAAAACTATTTAGATCTCTAATGTTGTTTACTTCTAAATTTCTCACTGCCCTGCTCCTCCCCTGATATGGATGTCTTACACCAGTGATGCAAGCCACTTGCCTTGATTGACAACTGCTTTCTGACCTATGCATCCCTCATGTACCATGTTTTGCCTGGCTGAACATCCTCTTATCATGCCCCAGTTAAGTTTACCCTGACCCTCCACTTGTCTTATCACAGTCAGGAGATGTGACATACAAAATTAAAATTTATAAGTATTTTAAGGCAGCCTTATTTTGACACACAAAAAGCAGGAGATTAATAATAAAAGAATTTGAAATAAACCATTACGATACTATGACCAGCTACCAAAAAGATTTGCATGAATTTGCTACTCATGTGTTAGTAAATCTGAATCGAATGCAAGCAAATGAAAAGAGCTCTGTGATGATTATTAGAATTAATATAGGTACATGGGAAAGGAGGAGATTTAAAAGCTTATGCAGGAATACTGGTACTTATAAAAGTGAGGATAGTGCTTTATTCCTAGTAAACTGAATAATCAAGATCATTCAGCCCTAAGACAGTTTTATATTCTAGCAGAGGGGTTAGAAAACTTCTGAAGAGGGCCAGGTAGTAAATAATGCATGCTGTTTCATCTACCCAACTCTGCCTCTGTGGCTTAAAAACCATAGATAATAAGTAAATAAATGGGTGTGACTGTATTCCAATAAAACTTTACTTATGGACATTGAAATAAAAATTTCATACAATTTTCACATGTTACAAAATATTGTTCTTCTTTTGATGTATTTTCGACCACTTTAAAATGTAAAAACCATTCTAAGCTCAAGGGCCATTGGTTCTATTTGGCTCACTGGTTGGGTTGTAATTTGCCAACCTCTGTTCCAGTTGAATGCTTATCTTCCCAGGCTGCCAGCTGACTAGAAATGTTATGTTATGTTATGTTATGTTATGTTATGTTATGTTATGTTATGTTATGTTTGTTATGGTTGTGCTGTGGGGGTGAGGAAGCAAAAATGTTTTTGCATATTTAAGAATACATTCATCCTAGCCTATTAAAATGGCCTTTACATTTTTTTTAATATGCAGAATTTTTCTTGACTGTTTAATAGTTTAAGTCCTCCATTAGGAATATAGAGAATTTTTTTTAACACTCTGGTTTTTATCAAATAATCAAAATGGAAATGGAAGATAGCCAAGAGATTAATTCTTAGCATAAACGAAAATAAGCGAAGCAAAAGTTTGCAAAAGACAAAGAACCTTGAAAACTGAAGTAAGGTCCTGGAGAAGCTATTTCCACTAACTGCAATTGGATTCCCAAATGGTCAACTTTTGATTACAGAGTCACATACCTCCAAGTAACAACTATCTAAAGGACACAAGGGGATGGCAGAAGTGAAACATTGCTCTCATTTATTTAATAGTCGTCTTGTAAATAATACCAGTGTATCAGAGCTCCGTTGCTAAAAATAGTTGTGGGGCTGGAAGATTTTTATTATAAGGACAAGTTAACATAGGGATGGGAGTATAGCAAAGAATTAGTTTCTATAACACAGAAGACTTACTTTTTTGTGTAAAAAAAAAAAAAAAAGCCAAACTCTTAATTATAACTGTGTGATAGGTTCTGGGACTTCATATAGAATCACAGACAAAAATAAAAATTAAATGGAGTGGGGTGGAACCAAAATATTTTTTTACAATGCCCTTCCCACTTGTCACCTTCATCTCTCTCCCCTTCGGATTCATTCCATAGCCTTTTCATATTCATTTTATGTTGATCCTCTTGTCCCTCCCTTAACTCCCTCTTCCTTCTCCTTCATGTCGTTTTACAGCTTTTGGAAATCTCCCTTTCTTTTTGCTCTTCCCCTTGCAGTATCTAACTACCTTAGAGAAGTGAGGAATGTTCTGAAACTTTTGTGTATTTCTAAGTGACGCAGAGCATGCTCAGTAGCTATGGTAGGTTTTCTCACCAGCAGCTTCCCTGATTCGACCTCTCCAAAAATAGATATTTAACTCTCTGAACTCCTGGTTAAGGATGTAATTTGTTTTGCTCTCTTCTCATTTTCAAGGTTCAGAGGGAAGCAGAGAAGATTCCGAGGTCCCACGGCCTTCACAGCCAATGAGGGGCCTGAATGGGAGGAGCTTGAGGCGGCTTGGTGCAGCTTGAGCTTCTAAGGGAATCATCCCCATTAGATGCAGTGGAGTCTGAGCTCTGCTGCATCTGTCACAGCAGAACAAAATTAAAAACAAAAACAAAAAACAGAAGAGGAGAAGAGAAGAAACTGCAGAGTATGGAACGCTGTAGGACTTTCTGAAACATTTGCTGGGGATCTCCGCGGAGCATGATCTTTTAAACAACTCTTTTTGAAGCCGGTTTGGGTAACTGGGAAAATGATACATATGCTAAATGTAGCAGCTGATCGAGTGAAATGGACCCGATCGAGTGCTGCTAAAAGGGCTGCTTGCCTGGTGGCTGCGGCATATACTCTGAAAACACTCTATCCCATCATTGGCAATCGTTTAAAGCAATCTGGCCACAGGAAGAAAAAAGAAGCTTATCCGGCTGGAGAGAACAGAGAAATACTGCATTGCACCGAGATTACTTGTAAAAACCCTTCGCCTGGAGTGAATGCAGATTTTTTCAAACAGCTACTAGAACTTCGGAAAATTCTCTTTCCAAAACTTGTGACCACTGAAACAGGGTGGCTCTGCCTCCACTCAGTTGCTCTAGTCTCAAGAACTTTTCTGTCTATCTATGTGGCTGGTCTGGATGGAAAAATAGTAAAAAGCATTGTGGAGAAGAAGCCTCGGACTTTCATCATCAAATTAATCAAGTGGCTTATGATTGCCATCCCTGCCACCTTTGTCAACAGTGCAATAAGGTACCTGGAGTGCAAATTGGCTTTGGCCTTCAGAACTCGCCTAGTAGACCATGCCTACGAAACCTATTTTACAAATCAGACTTATTATAAGGTGATCAATATGGATGGGAGGCTGGCAAACCCTGACCAATCTCTCACTGAGGATATTATGATGTTCTCCCAATCTGTGGCTCACTTGTATTCCAATCTGACCAAACCTATTTTAGATGTAATCCTGACCTCCTATACGCTCATCCAAACTGCTACATCCAGAGGTGCGAGCCCAGTTGGGCCAACCCTATTAGCAGGACTTGTGGTATATGCCACTGCTAAAGTGTTGAAAGCCTGCTCTCCCAAATTTGGTAAATTGGTGGCTGAAGAAGCTCACAGAAAAGGTTATTTGCGGTATGTGCACTCCAGAATTATAGCCAATGTTGAAGAAATTGCCTTTTACAGAGGACATAAGGTAAGAGAAATTAAGGCGATGGGTGAAATGTGAGACTGTTCAAGCTGCCACTTCAGTGCTAGATACCATCTGTTGTACTGTCGATGGACTCACTCCTATTACGTCTAAACCTTTATTTAAATGTATGCTTCATTACCCTGTTTAATCACAAGCTGTTTAAAAATTATAGAGTGCAAACTTTTCAAAAGTTTCATGAGAATAAAATGTTTGACACTCTAAAAAAAAAGTCTACTTAAGCTCGGTTACCCAAATATGCTAGGAATGATCTCTAAACCATTTTCTTAAAACTTAAATCCTAACTTAATATGTGGTTCCAGAAACTTAGAAGAAAATATATGTTTGGAAAATATATGTTTCCACAGAGATGGAAAATTTAGGATGGTATTTTGTGGTGGTTGTTCTTTTGTTTTTCAAGAAAAAAACAAAAACTTTGCTTTCATAGGAAAGACAAGTTTGACAATTTTGTATATCTGGTCAATGATGGAGTATCCTAAGTTCTAAGAAGTGCAGAAGAGCTTGTCTCACAAATATTCATTACTCTTAGTTAATGTACAGCACTACATTTTGACCAATAAAAGGCAGTAAAATGAAATCTTGTCTAACTTAGATAGAAAAATTAAGATTAGAAAGGAATAGAAAAGAAGTTCTGGAATATTATTTTAAATATTAAAGATGTTCAACATTAAGCAGTTCACTAAAATAGCATAATTACATAAACTTGCGGTGCATGAAAATAACTTCATAATATTAAATATGACAGAAATTTTCAAGGTGATGCATCTGAAATCTTAACAAAAATGACTCGGCAAATAAAATATTAAGGTAGTCAAAAGTTGAAAATGGTACTTTAATTACTGAGTAGAATTACTTAATTGTTGAAGCATTATCAATGATCAAAAAATAACTCTTCTAGCAGTACCAAATAATTCTTATAGCAGTACCAAAATTTCTTCTGAGGAAGAAATTTTAAGGCAAATTTAGGACTTCTACTCTAACGTGAAAATTGGCTTCTTGTGTTGTATTAATCATATTGATTTGTCAATCTTCTTAACTCAGTGATGTAAATTACAGCAGGCTAGGCTTCTTGAATTTAAGACAAAACTCAATAAATTGAGTTAGTTCAAAACTGGAATCTAATTAATTACACATATATGTATCATGTGTTTATTTTCAGATATTTTTGGTACAATCAAGGATAATGTTCTAACATTATTTACACATGTCTTACAGAATTATCATTTAATTTTAACATCTTATATATAATTTTGAAATCATAATTATAAATCACTTATATTTTTATACTTAACATTATATTTACTGAGTATCATGTTTTTAATATTAATATTAGGGGCGTGATAAAACTAAATAATAACGACTAAATTGGATATTAACCTGGATTTATTGATTGTTAGAATCATAGATAATACTATACTAAATAAAGCAAACTAATAGGGAACTTAACTTAAAGAAAGTCCCCAAGCGTACAATATTTATTTTTATAGTTTATGCTGAGTTAATTCTTAACTCTTTTTCCCTCTATAGGTAGAAATGAAACAACTGCAGAAAAGTTACAAAGCTTTAGCAGATCAGATGAACCTCATTTTATCCAAACGTTTGTGGTACATCATGATAGAGCAGTTCTTGATGAAGTATGTTTGGAGCAGCAGTGGACTAATTATGGTGGCTGTACCTATTATCACTGCAACTGGCTTTGCAGATGGTGGTAATGGCATTTATGCTTAATCTCAAATATATGTTTAAGATTATTTCTCTTGAAGGTATCACTGCTGGTTTTGTGTGAGTGATACTGTGTGTGTAGCTATTATTCTATAGTCATTAATAGTTAGAAATAATGGCAGACTGCAATGTCCAGTAACAAGACCAGCAATATAAAAAAGGAAACAAGTGACTCAAAAGACCTTTCCAGTTCCGATATATTTCTGAGATCTCTGATGCATTGTTTCTGGGAGTTGACTTTGAGCAATTTTAATCATACTGCCTAATGTAGAAGGAATCTCTAGCTTAATATTTAAACTCAAAACAAATTAATGCCTTTAAAAAGAGTACAAGTTCTACTCATTGCAAACTTCAGTTCTGCACATCCAATGCATTTAGTCTATAAATCGTCTATAACTATATCTGCCCTGATTTGTGATTTGCAAAGTTGGTTGACTATCTTAGGCAACCAGGAATACTGCTTCATGCCATGGAACAAAGTCTCCTCCATTTGTAGATAATATATATAACCTTCCATGTAACATGGTTTGGTGGTAGTGTGGGGGTAAGGGATAGGGTGGTATTGTGTTTGTCAAGTTGCAGGTGTCTAAATCTGTCCTTAATGGTTTTTACCAACATTTTCATCCTTTAGAATAACTAAAAAATGTAAGAGCAAAAAGCACAACATTAAAATATGTAATACTTGAGGTGGGAGTTTGGGTCTTAATTGGCAGAGACAGAGCGGAATTAAATAAAGAAGCAGCATTTTCTGTTCTTCCTTCAAAATAAAACATTGATCCTCCTCTTGTAAAAACACTTGCCAAATTTAGGTCATTCTTAACCTAAAACTATTCATTTTAGTAATTAGTAATTAGGATTTGTCAAGTCCTTGTAATTAGTGCTACACATATACCAAATATACTCCACAACTCAACAATAGATCACTGGAAAATTGAATTTTATCTGATTTTATGTTTTCAACATTTATTTTTTTAAATCATTTAAAAAGTTTATATTGAAAAAGGCATTGTTAGTAATAGTATTTTTAGACTTAATCCTTTTATAATGAAATAAAATAAATTTCTTTTTCAAGAGTAGTAAAGAAAAAAAGACACTTGAAAATCTATGTTCATAAGATTGGGTTTACTAAGAAATGACAAAATTATCATATTCACAGTGAATATAAGTATATGAATATTTTTGAAGTTTTATATATTATGTATTTTAGCAATGACCCATTACAAGCTTACAGTGTAGTCCTATTAGTCCTTGGAAGCACAAGTCTCATTAGAAAACCCTGGAGTAAACATAGAACAGAGAAAATACAGCTATTAATGGTGACAAATTAACCCCACAGAGACCAGTAAGAAGTAAACAATGTATGCAAAGAATATAACAATCTTAGTTCCATAGGTGATGTAATAAGATATTTAAAAATAAATCCTACAAATCCTGAAAATACCACATTAAAGAAAAAGCATTAAAAATTTACAAGAAAATAATCACATTGATGCAAATGAAACTAGTGATTCTCAAAGTTTCTTTTCAAAAGAAAATTGTATACAAAGAAAAACATTATAAGAATTTCATAGAAGAAAAGGAATTCATATGACAACATTATTATGAGAGTGTGCTTCAATATCTTCTGTAATTTCTAAGGTTACTATATGTATGCTTGTAATGTTTATATGTATGTGTTTACTAAATACATTTGACCTACAATGACTTAATACATGAAAATATTATCATTTTACTCAGACAAAATTATTTACTTTATTAGATAATGATATGTCTTTGAGGCTTTAGGTCTTAGAATTACACACCATATAATCTAATCTAGTCTTCAATCTTAGTTTATTCTTATGCCCTGAGTTGTCCCTTATGTTAGAGATGAATTAAGTGCATGGTACTATATATATTTAAGGCAACAACAGGTAGGAAAAATGGGTGAATGACAGAGGACTGGCAAAGAGAAAAGGGAGAAAAGGTAGGTTGGAAGAAAGAGAGAATAGAATAAAGAAGCAGGTCACTGTTTAAATATTGACTCTGCTATTTAATAATATTTATCCTTAAGAAAGTTACGTAAACTTTATATGCGTCAGTTTTCCTATCTTAACTATAAAGTTAACAAAATATATCTTATAGAATTTCTATGAAATTATATATTTTGTGTTAACGTGCTTTGAAGCAGTCCTTGGCAAGTAGTAAGAATTTAGGTGAAAGCAATTGTTAATTTTTATTATATTTTTACCACGGGAGCTTTGGAGTCAGATTGCCTGGGTTCAGATACTGGCTCTTTTGTTAATTAGGCCATCACTATGGACAAATCATTTAACCTTTTTGTACTTCAATTTCCTCAAAATTGGGAATTTATAGCAGGGTTATTAGGAGGATTAAAGAAAATCACCTATGTAAAACTTAGAACAATGCTTGCCTCTGAGGAAATGCTCAGTAGATGTTTGCTAGCATGATTATTGTTGGTAAAGGAGCAAGGCATTTGAAAGTGACTAGGAAGTTAGAGGTAAAAATGCAGATAAGAGGAAGAGCCTGCATACTTTTGGCAGGGAGGAGAAAAAAATAGTTCTATAGTAGATTTATTATACTGTCAACCTACAACTTTAAGTAAAATCTTATAGTAAGGACTGGATTATGTTTATATTCAAGTTCACATTATAAAATTACATATGGAACCATGCTATTTTCACATCAAAAGAGGAGCTTACAGGTCATCTAGTCTGGAGCCTCAGACTTGCCTAAGGTCGCTCAGATAGTTGGTGGAAGCACTAAGGACAGAAGACATTAAGTAAATCCTAGAGCATTGCTTTTTTCCTTTTTAGCATTCTACCTCATATTAGTTATATTGAAACTTACTCTATACGGGATTTAACTTAGTTTGAGGCCAACAAATCATGGGATCAAATGGTTGGAAAAGAAGCATTGAAATAGTTAATTATGTATGGTTTCTAATATATGTTTTTAGAGGACATTACTGATACCTTTCTTTGTATTAAGAGAAAGACTGAAATTATATGAAGAAAATATTTACTTGGGAACTATAATCTCAACTTTTTAATATTGTAGGGCACCTTTCTTCTTGCCTTCTGAGCAAGACAAGGGGAAGCTACTTATAGGTCCCTCCTGACAAACCTTATTCCAGACATCTTAACAGGCAAGGAAGAAAGCATCTAAACCACTAGCACTGCAATAGTGTCTGCATATTGATGATAGTGTCCACATGTTGGTGATCCATTAATGTGAGGTGACACATCAGAAGTAGCAACTGAGAGATACTGCTCTTAGGAATGCAGTTAAACTCTACCATCACTCTAGTAAGTGGATGATGATTTTATTACTAAAATGTACCTACAACAAGATTATATCTATAGCTCCTGCTGCATTAATATGCCTCATAGTCTAATGCCAAGTTATTGAAATATAATTTTATATTGTGGATCGGTTTGGATATGATTACTCACCTGTTGACCAAATATTATAGCAGTAATTATCTTATCAATACATATCAAAAACATACTTTCTAGATATAATTAGATATACATATAAGTAGTTATAATTTTTCAGGTAAAACATACATGCCAAGAAGCATACAATCATTTGTGTGCCACTCAATGAAATGTCACAAAGTCAATACATACACATAGTCACCACTCAGAAAAATAGAGCTTTACCTTCAATCTCAGAAGCCCCCATACCCCCTCCCAGTCTTATTCTCATCCTCAGTCCCCTACCCCTATCCTCAGTTATTCCTGCCCTGTCCCCCCGTCCCGACCATGCCACAGCAAAGGTTATTATTTTACTGGCCATTCATTAGTATTTGCTGATTTTTGAAACTTCTTTAAATAGTATCATACTGTACACCTGAGAGTTCTAATTGCTCCACATATTTGTCAATGTTCGACGTCAGTCTTTCATTTTAGGCATTCATATGAATGTATAGTGGTACTTCATCATGGCCATAATTTGCATTTCTTTGATGACTAATGAGGTTAAATACTTTTCATTTGTATATTGTTTATTTGGATAGCCTTTGTATGAAATACCAATAAGTTTTGTGCTCATTTTTAAATTGGTTTATGTTTTTTTCTTATTGATTTGTAAAAGCTATTATATATTCTGAAATGAACCTTTCTCAGACAGAAACACTCACACAATCTTAAATATCTTTTCTCACTTTATTCTTTCTTTTTCAGTCTCTTAATGGTATCTAATAGAAGTTCATAATTTTAATAGTTCAATTTATCAACTTTTTTTTCTTGTGACTAGTGGTTTTATCTCCTGTTTAAGAAATATCTTACTCAAGGTCACAAAGCTATTTTATTTACCTTCTAGAAATTCACTGTTTTTTTATTTCACATTGAGATCTTCAATTAGAATTTTTATTTATATATGGTATGAAGTAGGGTAAGGCTATAAGGTTTTGTTGAAATTTGTCAAGGTGACAAAGGTAAAATGTAACTGAAAATAAATAAGCTCAGATTATAAGTCCAGAGGAAAAAAGTACAGAGGAATAGCCTACTTTTTTAATTTTTTAAAAATTAATAGACTTAATTTTCTTAAAGCATTTTTAGATTTATAGAAAAATTGAACAGAAAGTACAGAGAGTTCACAAACACCCCCACAATTTCTCCTATTATTTACATATTGTATTAATGTAGTACATTTGTTACAACTGATGAACCAATATTTACATATTATTAACTAAAGTCCATAGTTTACATTAATGTTCACTCTTTGTATTGTACAGTCCTAGGGGTTTTGACAAATGTATAATGACATAATCTTAGTTTTTAAAACCTTTCTTACATTTTCAGTGAAATAACAACAGATGTGACCATGTTTCAGTATATACTTATTAGCGGAGCTGAAAAGTAGCAGTAAAATGAGAAGATATAATATTAAATATTAAATCCTTAAATGAGGAACTTCTGACAATATACTTAAAATATTTAGCAAGGAAAATAAAATGTTTTGACCTAGGGTACAAAATAGGTGAGTGCTTCAGGTCATGAATTTATATCTCTGACATTAAGGCATCTGGCCTTGTCATAGAGGTTATGCAGTTGGCTGTTATATGCATGACCAAATACTACTGGCACTGATTTCACAGTACCTGCCAAAGAACAACCAGTAGAATGTGAAATTAAATCTGTCCAGAACTATTTGTAATTTTGTTGTTAAAAACATGAAGAAAACCCAGTAGGCATTAATCTGCCAAAGCAACATCAAACAGAAGTCCATCTGTAATAGTGTTTTTTCTTCTTAATAGAGGCTGTCAGTGAAAGCTATTATTCAAACCCCTTTTAACCCAAATTCATAAAATCCCATAATTATTTTAGATCATCAGACAGATTATCTATGAGTCAATACTATTCTTAGCACTTCAACTGATATAGCAATTCACTATTTTGGTAGCTTGCTGAGAATCTTTTGGTAATTTTCTGCATGTATGTGGTTATCTATATTTTATCACACATTTAAATGTGTTTAAGAGTACCTACATTCTATTCCTAGTCTATTTATCCAATTATATTTTTTACTCCTCAATTATACCAGCGCTCAAAGCCTTTCTTTTTCATTCTTCAAGGAAACTAACTTCAAAGGAAACAATAGTACTTCTTTAGAGCAGTATTTAACAGTAGGGTCAGGAGGGACTATATTAGACTATTGTAAAAAGTCTCTATTAACTCGTGGTAATTCTGATACTCAAACAAAATTAATGTCTCCGAGATACCATACTGTATCTCGACTAAGCTTTTATCATTCTGTTGGCACTGCTTAAAATTTCCCTTCTCTATGCCATTGCTCATGCCCTACTTATGATGTATTAAAATTGTATATGGTCTTAAAGGCCCCACTCACAATCTACTTCTCCATGAAGCATTTCCTGTCTCTTGTACAAGAAATGATTTTTGCCTACTCTAAGTACCTCACATTAACTCTCATCATTGGCTGCCCCGCATAGTTATTTGGGAACTTGTCTTTTCTCTCTTATCAAATTGTAAGCTCCCTAAGGAAAGAATCTGAAAATCACATTAATCTTTGCATGTCCTATAATACCTTCCCTAATTTCTTGCACATCTAGGTTCAGTAAATATCTGCTGAGTGAATTTTACCTTCTATTATGCCTAGATCCCTTTCAAATTCAGCTGATCTGTCTATGGGCAAGAAAAGATGAAAATGTTTGGTAGGCACAATGGGGCACAAGTTAAATAATTGCATTGTTTTGGAGGGAAAAAAAAAGCCTTTTATGTTGAGATAAATCAGAGTGAAATAAATACCAAAGTGGGCCTATAGCTTTCTATATCATTTTAATTTCTTCATTATTTATAGCTTTTAATTTAGAACTTTAGCGATAATCTATAGAAGGATCAGATAAAGAATCAAATTGATGGAAAGATTAAAGTAATGACCAGGAGAGAATAATTTTGAAGATTAAGTCTAAATTGTCTTATTCTTCAAATAACAGCAATAATAACTAGAGAAAATAATAACATTTAGTTATTTAACGTTTAGAGCATGTATATTATAGTTATATATATAGTTAACTATATATATAACTATATATAGGGTAAACAGTATTGCATGTTTGGCGAGCTGCTGTACCATAATGTATATATACCATATATAACTATTATATAGTTATAATAGTTAACATTTAGAGCATGTATATTATAGGCCATGAATTAGTTAACACTTCATTTGTACTTCACCTTTAAACCCTACAACACTTTAAGATAAAATTGTTTGAGGTACTACTATTATTTCTCTCATTTACACATGAGAAAATAGGCATGGAGAGGATAAGTGGCTTATTCTACTTACCTTAGTATTTGCCAATAAATAGTAGAGTCTGGATTCAAACCTAGTCTGACTCCTGACTCTTAACCATAGTTTTGTATTGGCAGTTATTTAGGATGTTCATCCATTCATCCATGTGTCCATATAGTACACATTAAGGAGTACTATGTGCCAGACACTCTGCTGAACATTAGGAATAAAGAATAAAACACAGTCTTGACCCTTAAGAAATTCATAGTCCATTAGAAAAGCTAGATAAGGGTTTCCACTGAAACCTGTACTAAAGAGTTAACTCTTGAAGAAAGAGCTAGGCAAGAAAAGAACAGAAGTATATTAAAGTCAGAAGAAATCACATATGCTAATATGAGAGGGTAAACAGTATTGCATGTTTGGCGAGCTGCTGTACCATAACGTGAAGGTTTGTTGGAACAGGTAGACAGAGGCTAGATTATGAGTGTCCGCCAATCTACATTTCCACAAAAGGAACCACACTAGAAATATTTGCTTCTATTCCAGTTAGTTCTATTTTAGACCAAATCCATAGTATTTCATTGCCTAGCTATAATAAGGGCAGACGGTTGAATTTGGAAAGGGTTAAAAGAATGTTAATGAAAATGGTCTTAATTCCTATACATTTAATTGTTCTAACTCTCCTTTTAGAAAAATAAAATAAAATAAAAAGGAGTTTTAATTAAAATCTGGGACTACTGTATTTTCAATAATTCATTAAATGTCTAGGAAATTGCTAATACTATTGAAATTTTTATATATGGTTATTTTAGCCACGATTTATTTATATAAAGAAATTTAGTTACTCAAAAAAACTAAATAGTTTTTTAATTTGCTTTTAAATTTAGAAGATGGTCAAAAACAAGCTATGGTTAGTGAACGGACAGAAGCCTTTACCACTGCTCGGAATTTATTAGCATCTGGAGCTGATGCTATTGAAAGGATTATGTCTTCATACAAAGAGGTACTTGCATTTCTTGTTGTCAATTTGATTAAAATGAGATATGTGAAAGTGGCAATTACTAGATATAATTAGTATTTGGGAAACATCTTTTCTCTATCAAAAATTGTTAAGAGTATAATCAAGATAAAGGACAACTCCCAAGTGTATTGCTAATACTCTTTAATTTTTACACTATCACTTGTAATTCCTCTTTTGCCTATATATAACATATTTGTTTTTAAATTAATAAAAAAAGTCCTAGGTGTAGATTCTGGATCAAGAGTGCCTAAATTTAAATTCTTACTCCAGGATTTTAAAATTATGTGAATTTGATTGAGTTCCTTAACCTGTCTGTCTCTGTTTCTTCATCTGTAAAATAGGGATAATGATAGCATTGACTTTTTAGGGTTGTTGTGAGTTAACACATGTAGAATATTTAAAACACTACATATTTAAGTGCTCAATAAATATTAGTCAATAATATTACTTATATACCTTGCAAACTTTTACTCATTCTTCATGACAAGTCAAGCTTCACAAACCACATGTAAAACTCTCTTGTGATTCCATCTCCTTCTCACCTTCCCTGCAGAGTCTGTGTCTTCTCTGTGTTCACAGTACATCTGTTGCTTTACCACATTTTAATTGTCTATCTCTTGTACCAGACTTGAGCGGAAAGCAGAAATTGTCTTACTCATCTTTACATTTCTAATATTGATTTTAATGCTTGGAATATTGTATGTGGTCAATACACATTTGTTGAAAGAATGATCAGAAAACCTACAGATAGCATAAGACTAAGATTAAAAGTCACTTTATTCAATTGAGACATACTGATAATATTCCTATGGATAATCATTCTCACTATTAATTACTCTTGTGGCTTTTATATCAATATAAATTTCCAGATCATTATTATAAATTTAGCTACTGAGTAAATCAACCTTGAATAAAACATAAAAGAGTTATAAATTTTGTGATTTGCTGACAAAACCTTTCAGTCTCATTCAAAAACTGATTTATTGAATTGAGTTTTTATTTTTCTTTAAAAAAAGTAAAAAAGTTATTTACTTACCAAACATACCAAAACAACTCAATTAAAAATTTTATTTTCAAATGGTAATTTTGATCATCTAGAGATACAGTTTTTGGGATAGGTTTTTTTCTGATATATTACTGATCACTAAAATTAATGGCAAAACAAAATTCTATCCATCTCATATTAAAGTACATTGCTAGCTAAGTGACAGAAGGAATATGTATTAGTTTTTCTAGATTGTTTTCAACAAAATAAATTATTGCATTTTGCTTTATTTTGCCTGAATGTGCTTTGAATCATAGAATGTTCACTTCCAAAGAATCTTATTACTGCTGTAACAGCATATGAAAGCACCATGCATTCTTTGCTAGCTCAAGGGAGTGAGGTTTCTTTTTAGAGCTAGAATCCTAGGGCAAACCCTTTGTTTTATATCCCAAAGTAATTTGCCCATTGTCACATTCTCAGTTTTGTTTTGTTTTGTTTTGTTTTTCAGATAGTCTTTGCCCACTCTACCTTGCAGCCTGGTCTGCTAACTTATTGCTTCTTGCCTTTTTATAATCGATCTCTACTTTAGATTTTTGGATTTTTTTTTCTATGCAAATATTTTGACCTAGTTTTTCTTAGCTCTATTTTTCTCTCCTTGGGAATTCAACAGATTCTTTTAGATAACATTTTAGAAATTACCCTTTAAATATTTATAACATTAACATATAGAAATGAAACACTAATCTAATTACAGACCTCTCCACACAGAAGAGACATGTGGCAGAGATTTTTAACAATAATACCTACTCATTTACTGTTTAAGTTTTACACACACATAAATCTTACATAAATGTCAGCATTGTTGTATTATCCCACAATTTATTATTTAAAAACATTTATTAGTGACATGCCTTGCTTATTGGTACCAATTTCCTAGTAAGCATTTCTGTAAGGGAATGTTTTTTTACTTTCCTTTTAACTAAGAAAGATGGTATTGACAAGAGATGAGTCACATTTCACAGTACCTTGATAACAGGGTGTTCTTTTAATAGAAAAACAGCTGGAGATTCAATCTAAATTGTACAACTGGCAGAATAGAAGCAAGGTACCACTCTGTTGAGCCTTATAAACTACAGCAGAGATTCATCTCATCTTATTTTATAATATGCCCTAGAAAAAAGTCATATATAATGTTTTTCTTTAGGCATATAAACCATGCTTGGCTTGAAAAGAAACTGAATTGTGAGATTTGGACTGAAAATGATTTGAAGTTTTCACTGAGTTTACTCTCAATATTGGTAACCTCTACAAGGGATAATTTGCCCAATCTTAGGAATTTTGACAACCAATTTGACTCATAAACATTCATTTCACAATTAGAAAAAGTATATTTCTCTCCTATTTAATATCTTCCTTTTCAGAACAAGACAAATAAACAGAGACACATGGACATGGACAATGGATTAGTGGCTACCAGAGGGGAAGGGGAAAAATAAAAAAATGTTAAAAAATAAATAAATAAATTTATTGCTGGGGAAAAAATAAAATAAAACGTTCCACTTTAAATTGAAAAAAAAACACAATAAAAGATCATTGAATGAACTTAAGTTTTCACAAAATTTCTAATTTTCTGGAAGCGAAATTTGTAATATAAATGGGTTAAATCAGAAAGTTGATTGAATTTTAAGTCTCACTAATATTCTAAAATTTTTAAATTTCATTTTGAACCCTGACTTGAATGAATAATTTTTTATATATTTTATAATTCCAATCAAACTTACATTGACACCTTGCTATGTTGCTCTCTTGGTAAGCTTTTTACTGTTACTTGTTTAATTTATGAAATGTATCATCTATTTTTCATTTATAATAAAATAGGATTTTTAATGTTAAATCAAGAAACTTAGATGATCACATATTTATTTAAAAGTTTATCTTGGGTATATTAACTCTATTTTATTTCTCTGTGTTGGTTTTAGATCACAGAATTAGCAGGCTATACTGCTCGAGTGTACAATATGTTTTGGGTCTTCAATGAAGTGAAAAGAGACATTTATAAAAGAACACCTGTCATGCAAGAGTCTGAAAACTGTAACAAGAATGGAGCTAATATAGAATTACCCCTCAGTAACACATTGGAAATCAAAGGTTTTAAACTCAAATGTTTTTATATTTTTCTTTAAGTGTTTGCTTTATCAACAGTCAAAACTTTTTAGAAGATAGCTTTAACAGTTACAAGAAACCAACATTTAGTTTAAATTTAAACAGTTATTCTTAAAGTTAGTGTTTCAATCTGAAGAGTGGTGACTAACATTACCATAATAAAATGATGCTACTTATATTTAGAATAAAATTTCTAGAATTATTTTTGGAAACTGCACATATGGCAGAATGAATTGTTTGCTTTTAAAATTCAAATAACAGAACTAGAACTAATGTCATATTGTTCTTCATCATTCTGTGTTTTTAAACTTAAGTTTGGTTAACATATTTTTAAAAATTGTATTATTCTGTCTTAATTCCCTTTTTCGTACCACTGTGGTTTTTTTTTTTTTTTTGGTAGAAAAGGTTAATTTGGAGAAATAAGTAGTTTTAAAGAGTACAGCTGGGTTATATCAGATAGAGTTTAACTTTGCTCTCATTATGATTTTGACATCAGATTATTGCGAAATAATGTTTCTGAGAAAGATTTTCCAAATAGATGTGTCAAAATGTCCAAATTTACATTAAACCTTGCTTTAAATAGCTATATTTATGTTTGTTTCTATGATTTGTTACTGTGCTATCTTTATAATAAATGTATTTGTTATGCTGCATTATACTTTATTTAATTAGCAATAACGTGATAGCTTTTGTAACTTAAACTGTTCCTTAACTTGCAGGAAAAGTTATTGATGTGGATCATGGAATTATCTGTGAAAATGTTCCCATAATCACACCAACAGGAGAAGTGGTGGCTTCCAGGCTAAACTTCAAAGTAAGATGATATTCAAGAATCTTCTGATTGTTGCCATCACACTAATGCAAAACAACTAAGAATTCATGTACCTTTTGTTAAATACTTGGAGAAGCATATGGAAAGGAGGGGAAATCAAGAAAGGTATGCATAGTGGCTCAATTACAGAAGCAGTTAATTCCTCAGAAAGCAGAGAAAATAAGAAAATAAGAAAATTGATTTCTACTGCTTTATTGCCAGGTTAAAAATAAAAATTATAGTGCACTAGAAGCCTATACAAGGTTAATTTTGAGAATAAGAGGAAATTTCCTTAGAAATTAACATCTGGAAATAAACTTTAATTTTTTTCTTATAGGAATTACTCAAAAACTATAAACCTATATTATATTTACTAAAATATAAGGATAGCAGTCATTAGTAGGTTTACTTCTATTAATGCACATTCTCAAAATTTAATTTATATTTTAAATAATCACATCTTCTGTTAGGAAAAAATAATCAGAAGAGTTGTGCATTGGAATTTAGTTTTTAATCTATTGAGAGTAAGAGTTGTTTGTTATTTAATATTTATGCCTTGATTACAAAAATTAAGATATCAGAATAGTCAATAAACTTGAGGCCTTGATTTAAAGCATTGTAAAATTCAAACATACATTTTGGAATTCAAGTACAAAATAATTTGCTGATAAGCATTGATGACTGCATTAATGTAGAGATCTGAGCTTAGTTCAAAGACTTGATTGAACTTGATAATAAATTTCCAACAGAACAATACATGTGCTAATGATTTTAATATAGACCTTAGTCTAGGTTTAATTATTAAAGATGTATTTGCAAATGAGTAAGGGTGCTGGAAAAGAATGAGAAGTTCTGAAAGGGGGAAAATTCTGTATTAATAAATATAAGAGAAATTGTGTTTCAATTACAGTTTGATCAGGCTTCATTTTTCCACTTATAGGCCTATAGAGTGATTTAATTATTTGGATCCGAACATGAGTACTGATTAAGTGCTAATGATGCACCATAATCTTAAATAGATTTGAAATAAAACATTTAAGAGGCATACATAGAATGTTTAGTTATTAATAGTTTAGCAATTTATAATTTGACTTTTGTATAGATTTGTTTGTCAAAATTCATAATATCAATTATTATTCCACTTATTAAATAGAGTAAGAGTCTTGAATTCTGCCACCTACCAACTACATTATTGTGGACATATTATACTCTTTCTGTCAAAAAAATTCAGAGCTCAGTTTATTTTTATGTATAAAATAAATTTTAAAATACTTAATCTAATGAAACTGTCATATATTTTGAAGATCTACAAAGATACATTTTATTACAATATACTTTTATGGTAATGTTTATTTCTGAATCAGACAAGAAGTTTTATTTAAAGTCTCAGGTTCTCAAAATATAATAGAAAGTTCTGTTTCTGCTGCATGAATTGACATACTGATTTTTAGAGAAAAATGTTCTCATCCTTTTGTTGGTCTTTTGGAATTAAAAAACCATTTGGAGAAGAAAATTCAATAAATATTGGAATTATTTTGCCTCATACTCATTGCTTACTGAACATCAGAAAACTTATGCTAAAAAAAATATGAATATAGAAAAGACTTCTATTATGACTCAAAATGTGTTAAATTTCTGAGAACTCCTAACAGCGAATGACCCGATTAAAATATTTTGTGGATGTGTCTTTCACTATGGCATATATCTTTTAAAAAGGTCATTTGAGAAGTACTTAATGCTTCCTTAATCTTCTCTCTCATGAAAGAGCACAGCAAATACAAAAATAATTCTTTCTGGTCCTTCCTAGGATTTTCTTTGAACTTTATTCTATCAAAATAGCATTTTAATTTGGCTACATTAAAGAGAAAAAAACATATATGACCAGATTTTATAGATTCACGCTTTGTCTGTCTTATATTCTTATGATAGCTGTCTTCACTGCCTAAAATGTTCTTTTTCCAGATCTGACTAGTTGCTTCTTGTCTGCTAGGCTCAGCCAAAATGTTATTTCCTCAGAGAGGACTTTCCTGACCACCCAGTCAAAAGAAGCCCCGCTCCAATCTCACAATGCCACCACCTTTGCCGACCAAGTCTTCCTCTTTGTTATCAGAATAGCATTTATAACTGCTTAATTTTTTCTTCATGTGTTTATTGCCATCTTTTCTGTTGGAATTAGCTCCATGAGAACAAGGACTTGTTTGGGCAACAGTGTATCCCCTATACCTAGAAGACTGTCAGGCACATGGTAGATGGTCAGTGTTTACAGAGGAAATGTCTAATTATTTAGGCAGAATATGAATCTGAACCATTTTTGCTTTATGTATACTTATTATATACATTCTTAATTCCTTCATCTAACCTCCATCCTTTTATTTTTCCTTCCTTTCCTCCTTCCCTCCCTACCACCTTCTTTCAACAAAAAGATTTCATCTTATGTTATATACAGCAAATGAGTCAGGGATAGGCATGGAACTGGTTGGTCCCTTACACTGACATAATGAGAGTAATATAATGCTCTTTCATCTTTGAGTTTTCAATATGATGTATTATACGGTGTTGATATTTATATCCAATCTATGGGCATTTTGTAGACTTCTTTCATACTGTCATACTATATTCATTTTTAAATCAATTCTTAGAAGTATATCAAATTTTTTAATGGTATTCCTTTTCCTGAGTGTTCACAATGCTCTTTAAAATACCGCACTAAGACAATTTCCCAATTTTATCTGGTGGAATGGGAAAAAAAGATATTTAACTGTTTAAATTTAGATGATAAATAAGATGAAAGATTTTAAAGAGAAGTATCCAATTGATAATGGATAAATAACTTTTACTGTTTTATGTATATACATATGTATACATATATAAAATATGTATATATGATTAATTCAATACATCTCTACATATAAGACTAAATTACAATCCTTTTGTTTTCCTCTCTCTTGGTTTGCTAAACGTATTTTCTCTATCTGTGAATAAAGCAGAATCAAAATAATTTTCTCTCTCTGATTATGGACTTTTGTGATTTCTGTAACATTTCAGATTGCAGAAGTACAAAATTAATCCAGCTGGCTCTTAGAATAACTGTGCTTTATAGCTAATAACTGCAAGTGACAAATACAACAAAGCTGTATTTGAATTCAATATGAATTTAATCAAATATTAATATAAATAAAATAAAACAGTATATTTTATTTAAAATTTTAAGTTTCTTTTTTTCCATGTGGTTTTATTTCTACATATGTGTGTAGTATCTGATGACAAGTCCTCAGTTAAAATTTTGGAAAGCCAAGTACTCATTTCAAGATGATTCATTTTCTTTGTGATTGGATTAATTTATGATACTTTAGCTTCAGAGCATAGTCAAAAGCCAGATTCAAAGTATATCAAATCTTGATATACTTTTCTTTGATTCCTTGCCCATCCTAGGTTATTATGTGTTTGAAAGGTTTTCTGTTTTAATAAATCACTTTTAAATGCTGTCAAATGAAATTATTTTAAAATATTACAGTTTGTGATTTTATCTCTTACTTTAGGTACAAGAAGGAATGCATCTTCTGATAACTGGTCCCAATGGCTGTGGGAAAAGTTCTCTCTTCAGAATTTTAAGTGGGCTTTGGCCTGTGTATGAAGGAGTCCTCTATAAACCACCTCCCCAACATATGTTCTATATTCCACAAAGGTAAGTAAAATTTTTCATGTCACAAAGAAAAATTTCCTTTTGCTTTTTAATTGTCTTGATTCCTTACGTTCTTCAGTTTGTAATCTTTAAGCATGTTTTCATTGAGAGAAGCAATAAGGAAATAAAAATGTAATTATTCTAAAAAGTTTTATTCCTGCTTTGATTATAATAGTTTCTAGGACAATACTACTTCTATTCATTTTCACATCTGTGTAGTTATAAAGAACACTTAAAGACTACAAGTGTTAGTCTCAAAGAATAGTTAGTCTACAAAGAATAATATGATTGCTTTAGATGTGGGATTATCTCTTTTCACAGACAAAAATAGTTCTTGTATAGTATACTAATCTCTCCATCGAGCTGCATACATTCATATGTTCTAAAATTGTTCACTTATGTTTTAAGAGCTTCTCTAAAATAGTCTTTACTACAATTATGCTATATGATTAATTATTTGAAAATACCTTAATTAAAAATATTTTACTCTAAGAATGAGTGTAAAGTAAGCATAAAAATATTTAAAAGGAACATTATTTCTTCTGAAGTCTTTAGTTCTCTTCCTTCATAACAATTTAGAAATGTCTAAACAAAAAATTATATTTGAGAATTTAGAATATTTATTGTGGATGAGAGAAAATGAAATTTGAAAAGACACACCTCATGCTCATCTGTCTCAGTAATTTTTCCATCTATCCTCATCTCAGGTTAAGTAGATATCACAGAATACTCCTGTAGTGTTAGAGGACTATTCTGTGGAATCTAACAGAGCACCTAGGCTGGAAGTATAATACAGAGCAAATATAAATGACACATCAAGTGTGGTGCTATCATATGTCTCTCTTGCCTCTTTTCCTTTGTCAGAAAGTGATTATACCACCCTATTCACTGGTCTAAGTTTTAGACCCTATGTTGTAGTTAGGCAGACAGGTTTCATGAATTTTTTTTCTTTAAAGACCCATAGTAGTAGTAGGAAGCTACCTGAAGGGCAGGGGGTTGAAGAAGTGCATTGGCAGTAAGACTACTGGATATAAGCAGTATTATATATACTTATGTTTAACACAAAATAGATGACATTTTGTGACACCAGGACTATCATCTCTTTCTGTTTATGCTTTAAAGTCCTTTGGGAAACCTTCTGGATCTGAAAGCAAAGTATACTCCCAAAGTTTAAGTTTTGGACATTAATGTATAAAGTTGACTTATTTAAATTTTTTATTTAGATTATAAGGCATAGAATCATGAGGAAAATATTCTGTTATATAGTAGAATTCTACTCTTTTAATGCAAATAAAATTATATGTAAATTTTATATTTTTAGCTATTTTAATTTTCATATAAAATATGAGAGGTACAGTTCTTGAATATAGCTGTGACCTGAGCAATATAAGCCATTTCCAAGGCATAAGAAAGTGCATAATCCAGGAAAGTCATCCTTCAAAAATGAGGGAGAAATAAAGACTTTCCCAGACAAAAGCTGAGGGAATTCATCACCACTGGACCTGCCTTATAAGAAATGCTAAAAGAAATTCTTCAAATTAAAATGAAAGATTGCTAATTAGTAACATGAAAACATATGAAAATATACAACACACTGGTAAAGATAAACATATAGTCAAATTCTGAATACTCTAATACTGTAATATGGCAGTGTGTTAACCACTTAACTATTAGTATAAAGGTTAAAGGACAAGAGTAGTAAAAAAAAACTATAGCTATTATTTGTTAATGAATGCATAATATAAAAGATATATAATTTTATGCTAATAACATAAAAGGGGAGAGTAAAAGAGTAGAGGTATTTGTATGCAATCAAAGTGAAGTTGCATTTAGCATAAAATAAATTGTTAAATGATGTTTTATGTAAGCCTCATTGGAACCACAAATCAAAAACCTATAGTAGACTCACAATAGATAAAGAGAAGTGAATCAGAACCTACCACTACAGAAAATCACTAATTCATAAAGCAAGAATGTGGCGATAAGGGAATCCTTGTGCACTGTTGGTGGGAATGTAAATTGGTGTAGCCATTGTGGAGGACAGTATGGAGGTCCCCCAAAAAATTGAAAATAGAATTACTATATGACCCAGCAATCCAACTTCTGGGTATTTATCCAAAGGAAATGAAAACAAGATCTTCAAGAGATGTCTGTACTCTCATGTTTCTTCTAGTATTTTTCACAGTAGCCAAGATATGGAGAAAAAACCTCAATGCCCATTAACAGATGAATGGAAATAGAAGATGTGTGTGTGTGTGTGTGTGTGTGTGTGTGTGTGTGTGTGTTCTTCAGCCATAAGAAAGAAGGAAATCCTGTCATTTATAACATGATTGAATCTTGAGGGCATTATGCTAAGTGAAATAAGTCAGACAGAGAAAGAACAAATACTGTGTGATGTCATTTATATGTGAATTTTATAAGACTTAAACTTGCAGAAACAGAGAGTAGAAAGGTGGTTACCATGACTAAAGAGAGAGGAAAAGGTGGAGATGTTGGTCAAGAGTCAACTTCCAGTTAGAAGATGAATAAGTTCTGGGAATATAATGCACAGTACTGTGATTATAGTTAACAATAATGTGTTATATAATTTGAAGTTATTAACAGAGTAGATCTTCAATGTTCTCATCACAAAAAAAGGGAAAAGATAATTATGTGACATGATAGTGGTGTCAGGTAAAACTAGGTGATAATTATTTTACTATACATAAGTGTATCAAATCAACATGTTGTATGCCTTAAACTTACACAATATTACATGTCAATTTTGTCTCAGTAAAGCTGGAAAAATAAAGAAAAAATACCACTGAAATGTAACTTAAAAATGGTTAAGATGTAAATTTTGTTATGTGTATTTTACTAAAATTTTTTAAAAGTGGTGGGAAAAAAGTATAAATTCTAATTTTTGCCCTCAGAAAAACCTAACTATGTTATTTGCAACAAACATAAATTACTGGGAACTTTTTCTTAGTTATGAAATTTACTGTTGCCTAAGCAAAAGGTCAACTACAACTTAGTTAAGGGGCAAAATAAGAATGAAAAGTATCTTTTAAGGCTAAAAATATTTCTTAATAACTACTGTTAAAAGTCATTTTATCTTGATTATACAGCTTTAGAATCATAAACATGTTCATTTATGTTTAAAATCTTATAGGACCAACATCTTACCAAAAAAGCATAGAATTCATTTAAATGTATATGTAAACTAAGTGTCTAAATGTTGTATATGTTTTTTGTATTCTAAAGCTGCTTACTGATTTTCTCAGGTAAATTTGAAAATTACCTTATATGATTTTATGATTTAAAAGAAAGCTGCTACAACCTATTTCAAAATTGTCAGAAGGTAATCTTAAACATTTCTTCTTAGGATATTATTATTAATGAATATTACCTAATATTTTATTGTGTTAATTTATAGCAATAGAATATTGGTTAAGTACCAGCTTGGCAAAAAACAAACAAACAAACAAACAAAAAACCTGTAAGCTGAATATAAAATTAAGTCTTATGCACCTACACAATAAACTTCATAAGTCACAAACAGACCTTTATAATAATCCCCCTATTTTTACTTTTTGTGATTGAAAGACTTCTTGGTTAAGGGTAGATCTCTTCATGCAGTGATCAAGTGTACATTGTTATTTTCATGGGGAAAATGGAGTGGGTTTTGTTAAAGTGAATTTCTAATAATGTCAACTAGTATACAGAAGAAAAAAAGTAAATTACCAAAGGAAAAAATGTTCTAGTAAAATATGTTAGGCCACTTGTCTTTTAAACCAAATCTCTAGAGAAGGCTGCTATGGCTCAGTTTGCAAGTTAGGAAACCTGACTTCCTAAGAAATTGTGAAATTACCTCAAAATTCTCCCAGTTAATGTCTTCGAATACTTTAGCAATGTTAACAATGAGAACCAGATAAAAGAAATTTGGGCCTTAGTTCAAGAACTCAAATACAAAGTTGTGGTTGATAAATTAGTTTCAAAACAGCCTTCTCTCATCCCATCTTCATTAATAATTGGATATGATAACTAATGGAACATTTAATAAGTTTTGGAAAAGAAATATTTCATCTAAAATGTAGATTTAGCCACTCTAAATCTATGGTATGATAGATGGTAAAATGCTTAGTTTTGCTCACATCGTACTTTAAAAAATATTTTGGCAGTTACAGGCTGTTTGAGACTGAATTTCCTAAAGCAATGTTACTGTGTTCTTTAAACTGATGATTAAAAGTCATTGTCCCCTACTATATTAGCCATCCTGCCCCATAGGAAAAGCCTTCACTTGGATGCAGATCTTAAATTTCTTTTGTCAATTTTTGGTGCAGTTCATCTGTTTTCCCAACTACCTTAGGGTAGATTTATGGTCTCCTCCTCTCACTTTCACTGATTCACTAATTTATGGCCCATTAGTCACTTAGTTATTCCCTAGTAAGACTCTGTCTTTAGCCATTAAAGCCTCAAAAGCCCAATCTTTTATTTAGTTGTTTAATTCACCTGCTAACAAAATATTATGTGCTAACACTCACCAAAATGAGAAAGTGAAACATTTGTTAGGGGTTGAGGGATCAGACAATGAAGGACAGGTAGGGAAGGAGAAAGTGAAGAAGGAAAGAGGGAAGGAAAGAATGGAGGGAGAATGGAAGGGGAGGTGGGAAGAAAGACAGGATAACAGATGTTTCTTCACAAAAAGAAGCAATATCTTAGATTCCTTTATACCACTTTTTTTTTTTAATCCTCTAGAGGAGCATTTGTATATATCACATATCTCTCTTCGGCAACAGTCTCCAGTCTGGCACCAACCCACCATGTAATTTTCTTCCCACAGCTTCTGCTCTCACTACTCTTCTTGGCAGAAATATCTTGGGACAGAAATTTTAACCATGATCTTTTTACTGCTCAAACCCATATGCCCAAATACTTAAACTCAGACCAACAGATCTGAGATAGATTCAAACTCACTACAATTTTGTATGAAGTAAAAGGTTAGGAAAGTAAAAGAAGGATTG